GACTTCATGACCAAAACACCAAAAGCATTGACAACAAAAGCCAAAATAGACAAATGGGACCTAATTAAACTCCACAGCTTCTGCACAGCAAAAGAAACAATCATTAGAGTGAATTGGCAACCAACAGAATGGGAAAAAAATTTTGCAGTTTATCCATCTGACAAAGGGCTGATATCCAGAATTTACAAAGAACTAAAATGGCGTAGTCTTTAAGCAAATAGGTTCCTCCAATATTTTTAAAATGTGTGTTTGTTAAACAGCCAGGCAAAAAGTAGGAAAAAGGAAAGTACCAACAAAGCCTGCTTTGCGTCACTTATTATATGTTGGAAAATTGGGTTTCTTTTTTTTTTTTTGTCAATCCAACCATATTACAAGTATTTTCTTTAGGTACCTGTTTATCAGAATTTTTTACATCTTCTACAGAAATGGTCAATTTCCTTACTCCTTCTTGACCCCCTTCCCCTTAAAGGAGAGTCATGACAGCAGCATAGTGTAATTGAAGGAACCTAAGCCTTGGAGTAAATGTCTGCCTTAAGGTCTTGGACAAGATACCTAAAATTTTAGTCTCATATCTTTCCCCCTTAGAAAAGAGATATTATAATCCATTGGAAAAAAATAAGTAAAGAGGTATGCAACATGCATAGCATGTAGCTTATTATATAGTAGTTCCCCATGTTCTTCAAATTTTCATGTTAATAGTTATGTATTAATCATAACAATAATATGACTCGCCTGTCTCTATAGCTTTCTTAATCTTTTTCTTTTTCCAAATTTATCCTATGCTCAGCTCCTTTGCTTTCTCATTTCTTATTTCCATTTCAATCCTATTTCACTCCAAATCAACTTTACTTATTTATTTCCTTTCCGTCAGTAACTTTCTACTAGTCAAATTCACTCACTGCATTTTAGACTTTTCCGTGTACATTTGATATCATATATTCAGTACAGATGTGTGTGTGTGTGTGTGTGTGTGTGTGTGTGTTGTTGAAAGCATTCTCTTTTCCTTTTAGAGCACTGTTATCCCCTGTTTTCCTTCCTTATTTTCTGGTCATTCCAATTAGTTCCTTTTTACTCTGCAATTTTAGGGTTTTTAAAGATTCTGTCCTCTGATATCAGATTCACCCACCTAATTTATCTTTGAGATAAATTCTAGATTTATAACTTCTATTATCTAGTCACTAATGATTATCATATTTATCAACATTTTCTAATATTCATCTGTGTTCCAGATACTTATTTCTATTGGTATACTAAACATCAAATAGATAGAATAAGGAATATCAAAATACACATTACTCAAGCTACACTCAATTTTCCTATTTGCCATTTCTCTTCCTTTTTTCTTGTATTAATAGCAACATTATCCACTTAAATAATCCAAGAAAAATCCCAAATGTTATCCTAAATTATTCTTTTTTATATACTTGTTGTATACGTTCACCGCATCCATTGATTCTTTTCTTTCTTTTTTGCTACTGTCCTCTTTTAAAATAGACTAATCATTTCTTACCTGAACTATTTTAGTAGCTTCCTAGCTTTTCTCTGTACCTCTTGTAATTTCTATCTTTTAATTCTCTGCAAAGATGCCACATCTTTCTAAAATACAAATATCAGATTAATAATAATATCTTTAGTTAGGCAAGATAAATTAGTTCTGGAGCTCCACTATAGCATATGCCTATAGCTAACAACAATATATTGTCTTCTGAAAATCTGCAATAAGCGTAGATCTTATGTTAAGTATCTTTACCATCCCTCCCGGCACACACCTCAACAGTAATAAAGGAGGTGAGAGAAAATTTTGGGAGGTAATGAATATGTCTATAGCTTTGATGGTGGTGATAGTTTCACAGATGTATCCTACACCCCAAACTCACGGAGTTGTACACATTAAATATGTATAGATTTTTACATGCCAATCAACCTCAACAAAGTGGTTTTGAAGAAGAATAGCTAACAATTATATAGCATGTATGAAATGCTAGGCATTGTTCTTTAGACATGCTATGGTCCAAAACACCACAGTTTTGGACCTGTTAAAATAAAAGTATATTTTATTTGCTATAACCTGTTAAAATAAAAGTACATTTTATTATGACAACTTATAAGGCCCTTTTCATATTGGCCTCAACCTATTTTCTATCTATATCTCCACAGACACTGAAACAAGCTCCCTTTCAATGAACATACCATTCTCTCTCTCTCTGTGTGTGTGTGTGTGTGTGTGTGTGTGTGTGTGTGTGTGTGTGTGTGTGTGTGAGAGAGAGAGAGAGAGAGAGAGAGAGAGAGAGAGAGAAAGAGGTTGAAATTATCCTTTCAGAGCACTGTCAATTTCCTGGTCATTTCAATTAGTTCCTTTTAGTTCTGCAATTTTAGGATTTTTAAACAGTTCCCTTTCAATGAACATACTTTAATGTCACTACACATTCTATTCTTTTGAGCTAGGATTCTTGCCCATCTCATTTATCAGGGAAACTCCTACTCATCTTTCAAGTCTCAGCACAAATGTTAATTCAGCCACTTACTCAACTCTATGAAGGATCCATGCTGCTGTTTGCTTTGATAACTTGTCTATACCTCTTTTACAATACGTTTACTTTGTGATGTCATTATCCTTCCTGGTTATACTGTGCCATCTACTATACCAAGTAATTGAAAGCAGTGAATACATTTTATTCATATTTGCTTCTCTAGGGCCTAGTACAGTATCTAACAAAGTAAGTTCTCAATAAAACTCCCAAATGAATGAGTGGACCAAACACACAAAGGTAATCTACTTTGTTACAAAATGTGCTTGCCCTAATTCATATACCCATATATCCAAAAAGCAGTAAGCAAATTCCTTTGCATGGTTTCAATCAAGAAAATGAAAGTTTTGTTATTAAATAAACTCATGAAATGAATAACATAACTCTCCTTTTCATTTTGTTCTTTGTTTTATTTTGAGACACAAGTCTTGCTCTATCACTCAGGCTGGAGTGCAATGGCATGATCATGGCTTACTGTAGCCTCAAACTTTCAAGTTCAAGCAATCCCCCTGCCTCAGCCTCCCAAATACCTGCAACTCTAGGTATGACACCAAGCTTGGCTATGTTTTTTGTAGAGAGACAGGGTCTTGCTATGTTGCCCAGACTGGTCTCCAACACCTGGACTCAAGCGATCCTCCCTTCGTGGCCTTCAACGTGCTAGGACTACAGACATAGGGCATTGCACCAGCCTCTCTCTCTCATTTAAAGTATTAATATCTTTTGTCATCTCAAAACAAAACCAAAACAAACATTTAAAGTCTAGATATATGGAATTCCATGTTCTAAATTTAAAAATTCCTTTTCCTGGTTTTCTTCAAGAAAATTGAATACTCTAATAAAAGTGAATGAGGTCTCTTTCTCTCCCTCCCTTTCTCCTTCTGTTTCTAACTTAAATTGTAAGATCATCCATTTTCATCTAAAAACAACAGAAAAATATAGAAAGCCTAGAAATATGGTAGTCAGACTGTAAATTAAAACCTCTAAGAAAATTCTCCTGATATAAATATAGTAGGGACAAATGTTGAACAGCAGTATGATTTTCAGGAAAGAATACTGAGTGTGTTTTCAGAATACTGTTTATATCCCTTATTAACAGTGTAACACTATGTTACGTCTCTGAGCCTATTTCCTCAACTATAAGACAAAAACAATACTCCCTTCCCCACATACTACAAATAATTAGTTTGGGGATCAAGAGAGATAATGTTTTTGAAAGCATGCTATAAAAGATAATGTGCTGTACTGCAAAGAGTGTATTCACTCACCAAACACAGTTCTTGCAGGCACAGATTCTCTGTTAAGCCAGAATGAAACTTGGGAGAGAATGACAGTCATGATACAAGGCAGATATGTCTGAATCACAAAATACCCAATTTTTCTTTTCAAGTGGAAATGAGCTGTCATTACAGTGTATTCACCTGGAAGAAAAATTTAAGAAGCTCAATGAGTAATAGCCAATAGATTGAACATTTTGGAAATAGAAAGAATCAGAGGTAGAACAAAAACTAATTTTTTAAAACAAAGAATGTATCACATATATGTCATGAAATTTATGTCACCTTTAAAAGCCTCCTTAGCTTAGCATGAGTGTTTCAAAGAAAACTTTAATAATGTCAAGAAACTTGCAGTGCACATCCCATGATATGGTACAGGTTAAATGCCTCTTATTTAAAATATGTGGAACTAGATGTGTTTTTGAGTTTGGATTTTTCAGATTTTGGAAAATTTACATTATTACAAATTGAGCATCCCTATTCCAAATATATAAAATCTAATATGCTCTAATCAACATTTCCTTTGAGCATCATGTCAGCACTCAAAAAGTTTATTTTTTTTTTATTTTTTTTTATTTTGGAGCATTTTGGATTTTAGATTTTCAAATTAGAGATGTTCAATTTACATTTGTTTTCTTCTCTAAGTCATGCTTATTGACCAAAGTAATTCAGGATTCACAAATGCTTTCTGCCAATGGTTTATTTTACTTGGTTAGGCCCTTCACTCTCATTAGTATAAACCTCAAGTCTCTGTTTTGATTGTTCTAACTCAGTGCTCTCTGGCTCCCAAAATGTTGATCTCTGGCCAGATTTCCAAGACTGATCTTCTGGCCCACATTTTCTCACTTTTAACCCTGTCACCAATTCTGAATTTCTCATTGTCATATGTCTGTTCTAATTTGCTTCAGTCACTCCTATCTAATCCTCATATCTACCTTTCTTTCTGCTCCCTGGGTTTTAATTATTGCCATATGTAAGATTATTAGTCCACACTGCTGGGCTTTTTTTTAGGTGAAGGTGGCCCTCACAGAGGGAATCAGCTTTCCACATGGGCCTGTAGTAATTATAAATATCAAAAGTTGAATAATCATAAATTATCTAGAATATGAGTGAAAAAATAGAAAACTAAAGAAATTATCACTGGTCGGCCAGATGAGGTAGCTCACTCCTGTAAATCCAGCACTTTGTGAGGCTAAGGCGGGCAGATCACCAGGCCAAGAGATCAAGACCATCCTAGCCAATATGGCGAAAACTCGTCTCTACTAAAAATACAAAAATTAGCTGTATGTGGTGGCGCACACCTGTTGTCCCAGCTACTCTGGAGGCTGAGGCAAGATAATCACTTGAACCCAGGAGGCAGAGGTTGCAGTGAGCCGAGATCACACCACTGCACTCCAGACTTGCAACAGAGCAAGACTCCATCTCAAAAAAGAAAAAAAAAAAAAAAAAAAAAAAAAAAAAAAAAAAAAAAAAAAAAAAAAAAAAAAAAAAAAAAAAAAAAAAAAAAAAAAAAAAAGTAAAAAAGAAATGATCACTTGTCAAAGGTAAAAATTAAAATTTATTACTCTGAGAAAACATGTATGTTGTAAATACATGGTGAATTTTAGGCCAGTGTTTCTCAAACTTCAGTGCAAGTATTAATCTTGGAATCTTGTTAAAATGTAGATTCTGATTTAATAAGGGGTGGGGCCTAAGATTCCGAATGTCTAAAAAATTTCCAAGCACAGTCTATGCAACTAGTTCTTGGACCTCAAGAGCAAATGATTTTAAGCCATCGGACACACTTCCAAGTCCTTTAACCTATTAATACTCTTAGGCACCAGGTTTTCTTAGGACTAATTTTACTAACCTGTACTGGATTTAATTGTCTCCTTTCCAATTGATTGGCCCAGAAGGTCATACTGATTTAACCTAGAGCCATCAGGAGCAACCTGTACTGAATCAGATGCATTGTAAGTCCAAATATAAGTGACCTCTGAAGTTGTATATGCATCTATAAGAAATCAGAAAAAATATTTTAAGCATTTAAATAAGAGCCATCAGTCTAGTGCTACATGTACAGTTGTGTATTTCATACAATCACTATATACTTTTAATACTAATACTTAAACATCACATTTTAGGGGAAAAGGTCTCATTTAAATTTACTTCAATATGAGAGACATGAAGCAGACCAAAAAAGATGATCATGGCCATGACAGTATATTCATTGCAGCCACTTTGAAAGGTGAAAAGCAAATTTCTTCTTAGAGTCTATTACAACCACTGGGTCCTGAGATGATTATAACATCTCCTTTAGGCCCAAGGTAGCATATGAAGACAATGTTGTAAACAGGTTATAAATGCCCAAAGTCCAGTAAAACCACATTTATAAATATCAATCACTCATAAGATAAAAAGCATGTCAAAATTATATTAAGTTTTGGACATAAATGTACCCTAGTTAAGAGTTAAATGGCTTAGCTATCATGATACAATGTATTTCATGAGAAGAATAAAATGTAATTATCATAGAACATATAAGATAAATAATAATGCTATAGTTGCATCAAGTTGCAAATCCTTTTAAACTCATGCTTATTTTTAAAGGAATTAATGCACACAGATATCACTAGCCTACACACTTATAGCATCCCAGTTAAATTACAGATTGTCACAAAGAGGAAAAATGCAGTCAGATCAGATATAACTTCCTGATATATTGGCAAAGGATGCAGAACTTAGCAGAAGTGAAATGACTTCAGAGCTGGCATGCAGGCAACACGTCTGGTCTCGCCCCTTTCTCTGGCACTGCATTTTCTTACCCCTTTATGTCCCATTGGGGAACAGATAACCTCTCCAGGTAGGCGGAGTCCCTCCACAGTTGAATAACAGGCAATTCTTGCTATATCAGTGACAGTCTGAAGAACTTCTATGCACTTTTACTCATGAGAATGTTTAGAGATATAGCTACCCCTAACAAAACTCAGCATCACAGTCACATCACCAATTAAGGGAGAGAAAGGGCAAGTTGTTGCTGGCAATAGTTCTGCCTTCAGCTCTCCAGGACACTGGAAATCTCATTCTCTGTCATCTATATCTTGCCTAGCTTTAAGGGCATCGTACTGTGGTGACACTGGTTCTGAACTTGAACTAAAGTCTGTGATCACAGATCAATTTCCACTCAAGTATCGGTAACAATAGAGTGAATGATTATGAGTTTGTGTCTTTTAATGACATACTGCAATGTTGTCGAGTTTTCTGAATGTTTCTACTAAATGTTAATATCAGCGAAACACCATCACTACATATATAGTTACCTACATTAACAATCAAATTATATTATGTGAAACAATTTTTGAAATAGGATTCTAAAAATGTATATGTATATATTTACGGATGTATACACTTTTAGTAGCAGAGAAACGTTCATATGATTGCATATAAATGAATTTTAGTTATTCTATAGTTTAATTTTCTTGTTAAGTAATTTCAATTCATTAATTATTAATGATTGATTACTCTGAGAAGATTAAACAACAACATTACTAATGTGGATAACTAGCAACTGATTTGTAGATCAAATGGCTTGCTTTGTTTTTCCCTTGAATACATATTCTGGCTCTCTCTTCAATAAAATTTTAAATGGCACAGGACTTAGGAAAAAGATACATCAAATGGTCTACTTTACATTGGAAGGGCCTCACAACACTGTAGTTGTCAACAAATTATGGAATTTTTTTTTAAGCAGAATAAATCACTTTTGAATTATAATGTTTCTTTTAAACATAAGTAAGTAAAAATGAAACCCTGTAACAGAGATGATATTTTTAAGGCACTAATGAGATACTGATAGACAGGGACTCTGTCTGATTCGTGTCTATTCTTCCAGGACCTGGTACAATGCCTGATACACAGAAGAAAAAGTCTCAGTCCATCCTCACTAGATTAATAAATTAACTCATAGTATTTTAATTATGTTCTTTACTGTTATGGAAGAAGGAAATCTGGAGAAGAACTCAAGAATTTATTAAAGAAAGTAACTGGTTCTTCACATGACTTTTCAAAAAGCAATTACTTCACTTCATTAGTTAGACAGGAATATAGTTCTGAAATTTGTGTCTGGTGAAAACAATGCAGCAGAAAGTTATGCAATGCAGATTAGAGCCTCTCCTGAAGACATTAACACACATATAAGCCAAGAGGTCATAATAATGTTTCTCAATAAAGTGTCAAGGGAGAGAAAGACAGTTTTACAAAATTCACCATAAATTCCACTTCTAAATGAGGCTGTCATTAAATAATCTTGTTTATGTTAATTAACCCATTTTTTAATCCTATGTTGCATTAAACAGATCACACCAACTGATTCTTAATATTTGGTAAACAGGAAAAATACATCAAAATTATTTTTAGCTATTAATTTTTAGTCTGAAGACAATTTACAGCTTCTTTGGGATTAATGAATGGAATACCCCTAGACTTTCACTCAGAAATTTTAAAATCAAGCTAAATCACAAGGAACAATTGAAAGGTATGAGGTAACAGGAATAAAACAAAACAAGACTGGATTTAAAACTGTAAGCACACAGAAAAAAAATATTCCTTTAATTGAGAACAATGACAAAGTTCCTGAAATCCAATCTTTTTGGAGGGTAGTGGTAGGGAAGAAGAGGGCTTTCAAATAAGCAAGGAATAAATGAATATANAATGCCAATAATGCTTAGAAAAACTGACAAAGAATTTCAAAACTGTTTACTTATCTAGTAAAAAGTCTGGAGGTGCAGGAGGGAGAGAGAGGCAAAAGTCACTGCTGCTTCTGTGTTTCATAACAAACCAAACTTTGTTATGCAAACATTGTTAGGTTTGGCTTGGCTTGTATGTTACTCTACACTGATGTTCATACTATTAATACTTATGCATCCAGCACCTACTATAGACAAAGACAATAAAATAACATAAAAATTGTTTATTCAGTGTGTCAGAAAATAAATGTGAAGAAAACAAAATTAGTGATAATTACTTAAACATAAAAAGCCTGGCAACACACTTTACGTGTTGCTCATAGCTCCTTCTGGGTACAGAAACGATATTCTCAAGCATGCAATATTCCACCACTCTGTAGATGCAGTATAAGAGATTTTTAAATTTCATTTAAAATATTTTCAAGTGTGCTGCTTTCATTTTCAGAATGGAGACATCCATCACATCATTTATATTTGATGCCTTCATGACAAAAAAATAAAATCCTTCTTACAACATGATTATATCTTGAATTAGTCTTTTCTTTGGTATCAAGGCTTTCAATTTTTTCTATAATGCCACTTATGTAATGGAAATAAGTTTTTCTCTGCCGCATCTGCTGTGGTTTTCTCAGCATCATGTTTACGTTATATAACATGACTGACTATCTTAAATAATGTTGGAAGTAATGCTGGTACTAAACTTATGGTTTCCATGACAATAAAAGAAGGATTTGCAGTTAAATAAAGGGGAGATTCTCAAAGAAAATTGAGAACTGACACCTTTCATAAGAACAAACAAGACTGCTCTTCTCATACCACAAAAGTATGATCATCAAAATAGAGAGTTTTGCATTCATATGAGCTGTCATTCTTTCCTTTTCTTTGGCTTGATACAGTTTGTAAGGAGAAGGCACACTGTTCAGTGATACATAGTTTTAATCAGGTGAGAGCACTGCATTTCTATTTGACAGAGAATAAAAAGTCAAAAGTTGTTCCAAAGTGACAAAGATGATGGTGCCAGAAAGAGCACAGTCTCTAAAAAGGTCAGGCAAGAGGACACCCTCACAAGAGGCGGGCTGCTTAGCTGTGTTCATGAATTCATACTGAATCTACCCAGAATGTCATATGGGCCTAGGAAGATGATTTGACCTTCCCCCTTTTCAATTATTCTGGAAGTATGAATGCTTCTGCTTGATATACATGATATGACCCCTATGATCTAAAGAACAGCCAACTGCACAGACCCTTTTCTAAAATGTTCTATGTACATAGAAGGTGCCAGAATGTAGCAATACAGTTATATTATCTCCCTTAATTTAAGAAATAGGAAAGAAATTCTTCCATTCATAACAGTAGAAGACAGGGGCACAGACTAAGTTTCTGTGCATGTAATTTGCAAAAGGCTGATTGCCACTTTAATAAACTGTAGAATATATCCTTTCCAATTCATTCTTAGCTAATGAAAAATTAACATTTATTTTGAGTTTTTAAAGTTCTAGCAGTTGGAAAAGGAGGTAAATTACAGTCATAACCTTCAAGTTAGGTCTTGATTTTATACATGTCTAAATTTATACATTTATAAATTTTATAAATGGTCTAATTTTATACATGTACTAAAACACACGATATTCTTTATTAGCAGTAAAAATAAGTGATAATTGTTTAACACCATGACTAAATTATAGTGATATTTGAGAGATGTTCCTTAAGGGCAATTTGCATGCTTTTTACTCCTGTATCTTATTGGACAATTGTTAATCAACTCATAATTTGAGAAAAAAAAATCTGGACAACTAAGGAGTCCTGCTGACTTTCCCTGATATTATTGACCCAAAACATGTACCTTCATTCCTGTACTTACAGCTGCCAAATTTCAGAGGACACGAATGAGCATCCATTGGGAAATCCTCCAAGTGCATTGGGCATTCAGCTTGAACTGTAAGCCTAAAAGTCAAAATTCCACTATTTGTTTAAGTAAATTGGTTAAGTCAAGAAAAATCACTTGTGTCTACTGTCAACAGAACTGATGGAGATAGAGCCTTAATCATAGCATTTTGTTAGGCTCATTCATATGTAAATACTCTTGTTCTTTCATGTTTAGGTGATCCCTCAGAAGATATTGACACATACAAATTCTGAGTATAACTGAAGATAATAATTAAAAGTATGCTTTAGCCATTTTAGTTTCATAAGACATGAAGAAATTTCATAGGCATTTCGAAGGGCTCTTTACTCCTTAAGCTCACTATTAAGACTTGAAATCTTAAGGACAAATAACTCTATCATTAAAAGAATGCTAAAGTCTCCATTATCTCATCGACAAACATATTGCAAAATTGATAAGAGAATTCAATATTAGTTCAGAGGAGCTCCCTCCAACATATGTGAATTGTGAATAAATATCATAGACTGCATATATATTCACAGCTATACATATAGAACTAGATGTAAATACATATACAGATGTATTTCCTAGAAATAACTTATGGAGATTAGATTGTTGGCTAAATTATAAAACACAAATTAAGAATGTTAAATACATATTTTTTCTGTATCTACATGATTGCAACAAACAGTAGACACAGAAAATTTAATATAAAGCAAACTTTCAATTATTCCACTTCACATAAAGACAAAGTGAGTATAGCAGATACTAAATAAAATTTATGGAGGAATCTGTTATAAAAAGCAAAGCAAATAATGTGACCAACAATTTATTATGGCTTAAATTCTGAGAGAATATTTAAATAGAAACTTATACAATATTTTCCAAAATTCTATATGTCCTGTACCTGCGTTTTGTTTAAATCCTAAAGTTTTAATCATTGCCTTAATTCATAGAAATGATCAAAGTACAAAGTCAACAAAGGCACTGCATCTGAATATATTGTAAAATTCAGAGGGAGAGGCAGGCAGAAAGACTAGCTAGCACTTCCATTGTAGGCAATGAATATCCAGTAATGAGTCCTCAAAAAATTTTTCCTTAAAGATCAGAAATAGCACAGGACTATATTGTTGTCCCTCTTAAATAACTTTCATAACTAAAATCTAGCACTTAGTTTATGAAATGACAACACATCAAATAACTGGAATACATGTTTATGTCTATATATAATGCTGTTACTAGATTTCTGATCTTTTTCTTACATAATACAAGTAACTTATTTCCCAAGATGAAATCATAAGTATACTTAAGATGTAATAGGCATTAAATTTTATTTATTCTGACGTAAAATTTCATTAAAGTTTAAATCATATAAACTTAATGATTTAGGATATTTTTGAGTTACAAAATGACAATTTCATATGGTTCAATCCAGTATGTGTTTATGGTATCCAATATACTTGTAAGCCTTATTAATAAAGCTTTGTCTCTGAATTTAAAGTTATTTTTCTCTGGAGTAACTTCATAAGGAGAATTAAAATATTAAATTAGGCTGGGTACAGAAGCTCATGCCTGTAATCCCAGCACTTTGGGAAGTCGAGGTGGGTGGATCACTTGAGGCCAGGAGTTCCAGGCCAGCCTGGCCAACATGGCAAAACACTATCTCTACTAAAAACACAAAATCTAGTCTGGTGTGGTGGCATGGGTCTGTAGTCTCAGCTCCTCAGGAGGCTGAGACAGGAGAGCCACTTGAACCAGGGAGGCAGAGGTTGCAGTGAGTCGAGATCACATCACTGCACTCCAGTCTGGGCAACAGAGCAAGTCTTCATCTCAATAAATAAATATAAATATATAAATAAAGTCTTACTTTGAAATAATAAAAATGTGATGGGATATCTGATAATAAATTAAAATTGTATGCTGATGAAAACCAAATTCACGTCATATTATTAAAACTGTACTTCATAAAAATATAGTGTGAAGAATAACCAAAAGCATCAATTCTGAATAATAAAGGCAATTCTTAACATTTAAAGAACCAAGATGAGACTCAAGCTCATAAATACTATTTTATGCAGTTTTCTTTTTAATCAAAGCATTTGCAAACATATGATGGGTACTTCAACAATCTGTTAGAAAACATTCAACTTCTGCTAATACTTGACAACTAGATTGGTTGTTTAACACGTGAATTTCCCAGTATATAAATCCATCACATCAAACCTAAAAGCATACCTCATTGTATACAGCAGAGTCCCATCATCCTGGATTCGAAGCAACTTATTTGGCATTGTCATATTATGAGCTACTGATTTTTTCCCATTGTGAAAAAAGGTATCTGGAGTCCAGATTTTGCTAGCCATTAAATTGTTGAGTCGAAGGATGTTCATCGGACCTTTAAATTTTAAACGTTCATCTTTCCATTTTTGTCGAAAGAAAACATCAATTGTATATTCCTGAAATTAAAAAAAAATGAATTCCTTTCAAAATAGTAAATGTTTTAGACACGAGACACTATAAAATTCCGAAAAATATATATATTCTAAAAAAATTAAACAGAGAGAGAGAACTACATTGAGGGAAAATCAGTTTTAATCACAAATATTACTCCTTTGGCTTATCAATGCATGTTGCCACATAAAATGGGATAAAGTACACCTGTGTACACTATTAGGTATATATTCTTGTGAAAATAAAAAACAAGTTCACTTTGGTCTCTTCCAGTTGAACAAGGTCTCAGTCAAACTGCTTCACTGCATCTATAATTGAGAACTGCTTCTAGAAGGGATGAGCTTAGCTAGGGTCTGGTTGAATTACTTCAAGTAGCTTATTTCAAGAAAAAATAAGCAGGCAGCTTTCCCAATAGCAAATAAATAAATAAACAATATTTTTATGTTAAAATTAAAACAAAAAAACAAAACACTTAAGCGCATTGTCAGATCTGTATGAATCATCTCCTGTTGCCAAAGAAACTGTAAATTATCATATTTATTTTTTAATCCTAATAAATGTTGAGAACATGATACTGTTAGCAAGATTGTGTTAGGAGATAATTTCAATCAAGTTTATTTATGAAATTAGTTGTAATACAAGCACTTTACATGTTTTTAGAGTATTTAAAGTGTGTATGAATATTTTGCAGATAAACTCTTTCATGTTAAAATGTACTTTAAAATATTGTTACAGACCCTCTAGTGATAATTTCCTGTATTATTTTTCTCTAATATCTTAATTTAGGTAAACCTCTTTTGCTCTCTCTCTCTTTACCTCTGTCTCTACCTTTACCTATCTATCTTTCTTAAGACCACATATACATTTTAGATGAGACATAAAATGCACAATTATGATTAATATTTACAATCTGTTGAATGTTAATTTTTTTGTCAATGTATGTTGTTATAAACATACTACTAATAATTAAAATGTTCAATTACACACCTGAGATTGGAAATTCAGAAACTGTCCTTTGAGCACAAAAACACAGTTATTACATGTTTGAAAATAAACAATGTAGCAATAGCAATTTTATTAAAGCAATGTTTGCAAAAAAGAACATATTTAAAAGACCATACACTTATAAATTAGAAAATCATTTATATAAATCTGAATTAAGTACATGAATCCTAGTGATCCCTCAAAAATGGAAACAGTGATGATACTAACAAGTGAAAATCATAGGTAATGGCATGTGAGTAGGAAATGAACAGAGGCTCTGGGCTGTTAATTCTTAAGGGAATATTCCATAACCTTACCCACTCTTACTATCATCTAATTATCTCTTTTAATGTTTAACTTTATCTAAATGGAACTCTAAAATTTAAAAATAATGAATAAAGAAATAAGTCTTTGCACTGTAAGTTTTATGCAAGTATTTCTTTTTTACCTGGGATTCCTTAAATACTAGCCTAACATAAATACATATGACACTTACTTTTCCAGGTAAAATTAATACATTTTTGAACTTTTTATAAAACTTCAAATTCTATATTTCATTTCTGTAAAATGAGGGTATGTTTTATCTGTTTCAGAAACTACTGATATGACAGTCATTTTCTGGAGGTCGACTACTTAGGAGATACTTTAAGTTTACAAACTGAAAGTTGCAGGTGTTTTCCTTTTTTACATTTTAATGATATATTTTACTTATTTATTTTATTTTTTTAATAACTTCAACTTTTATTTTAGAAATAGGGGCATACATGCAGGCTTGTTACATGAGTACATTGTCTGATACTATCATTCAGAGAGTGAGTATATTACCCAATTGTTAGTTTTTCAACCCTTGTCCTTCTTCCCTCCACCCTGTAGTAGTCCCCAGTGTCTATTCCTGTCATCTTTATGTCTATGAATACCTAGTAGCTCCCACTTATAAGTGAGAAGCTGTTACTGCATTAATTTCTTTAGGATAATAGCTTCTAGCAGCATACATGTTGCTGAAAAGGGCATAATTTTGTTCTCTTTTAAGTTTCCTACCATCCAATAGTGTATATAAACCAAATTTTCTTTATCAATCCATCATTCACATGCAACTAAATTAATTCCATGTTTTTGCTATCATGAATAGTGCTGCAATGAACATATGCATGCATATGTCTTTTTGGTAAAATGATTCATTTTCTTTTGAGATATATAACCAGTAATGGGATGGCTGGGTCTCATGGTAGGTCTGCTTTAAGTTATTTTAGAAATCTCCAGACTGCTTTCCATAGTGCCTGAACTAATTTACATTACCAGAAAAGGTGTCTGTAAGTGTTCACTTTAGTCTGCATCTGTTTTTTTTATTATTTTTCTAAGTTTTTAATAATGGTCATTCTGACTGATATAAGGTAATATCTCATTATGGTTTTGATCTTCATTTCTCTGATGATTGATGATATGAAGCATCTTTTCATCTATTTGTTGGCTGCTTGTATGTCTTCTTTTCAGTAGTGTCTGTTCATGTCTTTTGCCCACTTTTAAATGAGGTTGTTTTTTTACTTGTTGAATTACTTAAGTTTCTTAAAAATTGTTTCCAGAATTGTTATTTATCTTTGAGAGCTCACAGTGTCCCAGGTGTGCTCGGCCAATCTATTTAACATAGTTTGAGTCTTTTTCTCCCACTCTCATCATGCAAGCTCATGTTATGGTCTACGCAGTTTTAACAGTCCCCACTCCCGGTCATTCCTCAAATAGAGCAAGATCTCCACCTACCTCAGTCTCTTGAATACCTGCAAAAAGCATAGCCAGCTTTCTTTGAATTTCTATAGAGCTCTTCATTCCTTCAAGATCATCTACTACAATTATAAATTTGCTTCTCTGCCTCCCAAATAGTCTATACATCTTCAAGAAAGGGGCCATGGCTTTCATTTGTGTTTCATTTTTTTCAGTCATAAAAAAGACTGTAAAGAATATTACAAATACCTTGTAACCATCAACTAACAGAAATGTCATCACAAATATTATTGAAGGCCTTTCTCTTCTGTTTATTCCTTCTCAATCACAGCCCCCCTAATCCCTGAGGAAATAAGTATGTTGAATTTAGTATACACCCTTCCAACACATGTACTTTCAGATTTACTACATAAATATATATAGTGTGTGTCACATTTTAAACATTCATATACATGTAAATACACATTGTATATTTTTCTGACATTTGCATCTTTTAGCTACTTTGCTGAGATTTACACATGGCAATATATCTAGTCCTTTGATTCATTTTCACTACTTTATAGCATTATATTGGAAGACCACTTCACAATAAAGTCATCATTTTTCTAATCCTTATTTTTCTTATTACTAATTTGTCACTGTTACAAGCAATATTGCTACAAATATTCTTGTTCAACACTTGTAATACAAAGGTATAAGAAGAGTTAGTGTAGCAAATTTTTTCCATTAAGAATTAGTCAATAAACATTTTAGAATTTGTGGGCCATATGGTTAGCATAACAACTATTCAACTCTGCCACTGCAATGTGGAAGCAACCACAGATTGCATAAATGAATAAGCATGGCTATGTTCCAGTAAAACTCCGTTTACAAATATAGGCAGCTGACAGCTTTTTTCCCATGGGCTGTATGTAGTATGCTGACACTGCCTTAGACTAAATCTATAAGTAAGATTACTGGAATTTAGTATATGTACATCTTCAAAATAACAGGATATTTTTAAATTGAAATTCTAAGAAGTGTGTAAATTTCTATTCTCAATAGAAGGGTATAAATGTTCTTGTTTATGTACTACTTGGTAGAGACAGAATATTTCATTTTAGACATTATAATTAGTGTGAAATGGGTAATGGTGCAACCATGTGGATTTCTCTGTTAAGTAGTAAAAATTAATATATGTTCATGTTTATTAAAAATTCTAGTTTTCTCCTCTATAAATTGTCTGTTGACTTTACTCAGTTTCCCTTTAGGTTGTCTTTTTCTTTTTTTCTTTCTTTTTTTTTTTTTTTTTT